GGAATTTTTTCATCTTCTTCCATCAAATTCTCACCATTGAAAAACTCGAGAACTACTACTGCGAATCATGGAAGTGATTAGAAGATGCTAGCAATGAACAGAGTATTGCCCAAGAAATTGTGAACATGGGGAAGGTTAAGATGAGAGCAGCCAACCTGTTCGTTGGCACGATAATCACCGGCAAGGAAGCAGCGAATCGGATTGTCAACAGTTCTATTACGGTGGCAGTCCATTGGCGAGTCTAGTTCAAATGGAAGATATGGCTTTTGGGCATCTGATAAGAGATCGAATCTGAATATTCAAACACATCCAATCGGCAAGCATCGCTTGAGTTGAATCTCTCAGTTTTGAGGAGATCATTCATCACATATTAGACATATTCAGCGATCAGTTCAATAACTGTCATAGACCATCTTGAGAACCACTGTCATAGACCATCGTTAAGTGTGAGACTAACACTGCCTCAAAAGTAAATGATTCTTCAGAAGGTACCTTAGCAATCCTCGATCTGGATACAGATCACGAAGCTCATAAGCTTCTTCTTCTGTGCTACCATAGATTCCTGACGCATCAAGGTAACTTGTTATCTGAAGATGTTGAAGTTTTCAAATTTAATGTCAACTTATGTTCAGCAAAAATTTTCAGGTCATTAATAGGTCATCCTAGGCGTATTTGTTAATACTGAAGCACTCAAGTCAGTGTCAAAAACGAACGGTGTTCATTTGCTCTCGATAGGTGATCTGACGATAGATCAGCGATGTTTCACCAGAACCGCAGACGGCAGCTGAACGCTCCAGCTCAATGCATGGATATTTGGGTCTGGGTCTGAAACAATCCAAGAACAATCTCATTGACTTAAACTTTTGTTGCAGGAGACTTTCAGTAGTAGTTGTTGTTGATGATTAATGACTGATTATGACAATGGGGGAAGAGGAAACTACTGAAAATTTTACGAAATAATCGTTGCTGAGCTCGAAATTGATTGCTAAACGCACATGAATGAATACTTGTTATCACAGACCAGCNTAATCGTTGCTGAGCTCGAAATTGATTGCTAAACGCACATGAATGAATACTTGTTATCACAGACCAGCAATTGCTTTCAACGAGTTTCTATTCTAAAAGAGAGATCTTCACCTGGTAAGCATTCTCGGATCACCTTCCGGTAATTGTATATTGAAGCATGGATTTATGTTCTCGCAAGTTCGATTGCAAATCGCACCAGTCGCAAACGCGTTCCGACTTATTGCAGTGGCCGTGAAGTCGAGATCGTGATCTGAGCTGAGTGTCTATTCATTCACAGTTTATCTGCTTTCGTTCATCTTATTATGTATATCTTCATTCAAAACTAACAATTATATGGTACTCTATTAATTTGGGTGAATATTATATCCGCATTCTTGCTAACCTCTTGAACCTTTATTGATGAACTGTTTGTTTAATGTTCAATCAATGATCGCAGATCACTGATTGATCAATAAATGCAAGTGAAAATTGAAAGATCTATTTTTTTGGCCTTGTTAGGCGAGACTCTTACCAATGAATTGCCCCCACTGCATCATCATTGCCGATAATGTCTCATGCGGAGTTATAGTCGCCGCTCGAAGTAACTGAAAATTTGTTCAGCTAAGTAATTCATTCATAATTTTTACCTCGAAGGATCATCGAAAGGGAACGAGTGAATTGTGAATGAT